TTAGGCATTAGGTCCTGAAGCTTAGAAACGTGGGGTAGCGTGGGGCAGACAGCTGCAGTGCTGCTGACAATGGCGCCCGCTCAGCTGAACAGGCCCACAGGAAGTGCTGAGTGTTATAATGCAGAGATGAAATCGCCTGTCACTGAGTGGAAACTGGGCTTTAATAGATGACTCAGAGGAGTGTTTTCTTTTCCTTACTCTTACTTAATTGCTTGTGTGGGTTGGGGAGAAAGTCCAAAAATAATACTAAAGCCCTATGGGTACTCTTACAAATCAGTTTACAGATTGTCAATGAGCTTCTGCAGATCAATTCTTGTGGTGACATGAAATTTTAACTTCAAACAAGGGCAGATTTTACAAAAACACTGCAACTTCAACCAAACAAAGCCTATCTGATGACAATCACTTGTTTGCCGGCCCTGATTTTATTTATATGTATGAAATATATTAAAATACAACAGCAGGCATTTCAATTTAAGTAAGAACATTGTAAGTAATATGAATAAAAAATTTGCCTTTCAAATTTACCTGGTTGGTGTTCTTTGTAATACTTTCTAAACTGTTAGTTTTTAACTAAAAAACATTGGATTTCCAACACCACCATTTAATAGTATATTATCTTGGCACAAATACAATTATTGCTGACTGAGAAACATAGAAACAGGATAAGGCTAAATGTTAATAGTATGGAGAGATTGGTGAGGTTATTGTAGTCAATAGTATAAATGTTAATAGTATGGTGAGGTTATTATAATGATACAGCAATAGAGAAATGAAAACTCCATGTAGGGGGAATATGGCTAAGAGAGACGACGTCAGAAAGAGAAAGACAAATGATGGATGATTTCACTCATATGGGGAATATAAAGAAACAAAGAGACAGACAAAATAAACCAAAACAAACCCTAGAAATCTGACTGTAGAACTGAGGTTACTGGAGGGAAAGTTTAGGGGGCGGGGAGTTAAGTAGGGCAGAGGTTCAATGGACTGTGGCAGAGGATTATGGGTTCTTTGGTGGTAGGAGTAGGAATCCTCACCGCAGATAGGTGAGAGGAAGATGCCAGGAAGAGACGAAGGTGTGAACAAGTACAAACCCAAGGGGTAGACACCATGCTACCACCCTACTTCCACCACCGACTTGTGTTAGCTAAACCAGTTGGGGCCTCTCTTCTCTACAGAGCCCCAGGTATAGCTGAAGAGGTATTCTTATACAGTGCTGTAAAGCAAATTATCACAGTAAAAAACATACAATTTAAAATAAATAAATAAAAGAGAACATACCAAAAAAAATCCTTTTGAAATTATTAGCACCTGAATGTTATCAGACTCTTACAAGCTGTAAGGAGCAGGCTACGCCCAGGTTATCTATAGGCATTCATTTCTACATGCCAGAAAGAAAGGAACTCCTGTGGTGAAAATCTAGTCTCCCTTTGTGGGAAACTAGAAAAGCCATTTTTATTGCTCACAAGAGTAGCAAATCAAGCACTGAATGCTCCGTGCTGGAGACATGGGCATAGTAAGCCCTCAAGCTTGCGCCCGCCTCATCTACTCACCCCATTACACTCAAGCTTAGCTTCCCTCATTTCTACCTCTGCTACCTCCGTTTATCCATACCATGCCTACTTTGCCTGCCTTCTCAGGAAATCAAAACCACCAAGACCATTTGATGCGATCCAAAAAGTACCATCCAACTATGTGCCTTTCTTGAACAGATCACCTCATAGGCTGGTGGGCTCTGTACGTCTAGCCTTTGTGGAGCGTTGGCTTGGGCCTAAAAGGCTGGGGTCAATAGTGATGGTCATGATAACCACATCACATTATAAGCCCTGGAGACTGATACAGAAGGACAGCTGTTGGCTACTTACAATAAGAGTACTCTGCCCCTAGAGTGCCAGGTCTTCACCTACACAAAAAAATAAACTATCGTTGGATAAAACAAAATGAACAAGGAAAGGTTACTGACTTCACAGAGAAGTTACAAATTATTAATAGGTTTTTAGTTAAGATCTTATGTAAATCGCCTTCACTAGGGTTTTGAGTTATCTACTACCTTTGTTTATAAAGCCTCCCTCTCTGAGCTATATAGCAAGTGTCAAAGAGCTATTTGAATTAGATGCTTAAATTTAACTTTTCCTTGAATTTCTTGGGCAAAGGAGAGGAGAAGGATCACTTTTTTTTTTCAATCTTTGAATAAAGATTCTCTTTAAAAAATTTTATGTTTTACATCATTCTTCATTTTTGTACAACATATGCCTTCTCCTCTCAGTTATAGTCCCTGTGAAATTCCCACCACCAAGTTCACCTGTGCACCATCACCACAGCCCCTTGTGCTCTTCCCATCCCTGCTTTGATCAAGAAAAATCACTTTACAAAGAAGACTCCATCAAGTTTACATCTTGAGAGGAAAAAAAATTCTAACTAGTGTAGGTCTCTAAAAGCTAAACACCCGAAACAACTGTTCTTTCTAAATTAAACATAGCATTTAAGTCAGCAAATCTGTCATGTTGTATATTGAATAAGCATTCTTAAAGAGATAATGATGCCTCCTCTACCAACAAAATAAAGCTTTACCAATCATTCCCTTACATCATACTTATTCTACATTCACTGTCATCACTAAACTGTAAACTTCTTAAGGAAGGGAAAGGGTGTACATTCAAAGACACGTGCGCATTTATATGTGCACACACACACACACACACACACACACAATGGAATATTATTCAACCTTCAAAAAGGTAGGGAATCCTATTGTATGCTACATCATGTAACACTATGTTTATATATTTCACTAAGTGAAATAAACTAGTCACAAAAAGTCAAATGCAGTATGATTCCACTTATAAGAAAGACTCTACCATAGTCAAACTCATTGGAAAAAAAAATAGAATGGGATTGAGGGGATAAGACAAAAGAATGGTTTAATGGGCATAATTCAATTTTGTAAAGTGAAAAAGTTCTGGAGAGGTATTTTTCAATGTAAATATAGTTAATACCACTTAACTACACTCGAAAATGGTTAAAATAAAAATTCTTACATTCCAATCAAAATTCTTAAATTAGGTTTAACAAATTAGACTTCACTAAGCAAAGAAGTTAATTTCTTACACAAAAGACTTCCAGGTGAATGGGAGACAGGAACTCAGTGTCCAGTTAACTATTATGCATCAGATGTTCCTGCTGCTGCAGGAGAAAAGCAGACAGTACCCCAGGATATCCCTGGGTATAAGATAATTCCCACTTTGCCAGGAAAGGATGGTGGACACCATGTGGGTGGGTGCCTACAGCTGCAAAGCAGAGACATTTCAATTAGCCTGACGCAAAATTCACCTTCGGTAATTAAATAGTAGGCATCAAGTAATAAAGTCACTCCCAGGTGAATTCAACCATTTCAGAGTAGGAAAGGGCAGGGTTTTCATGTGCCTTATCAGGAAAGCACGAACACTGGAAGGATGTGGAATTAAGCTCCCCTTTCTGGGACTTAAAGAGAAGGGCTACTTACAAGAAGAAAGACTTAAGTTGTCCAGTTGGAAAACAGCAGAAAAGAGAATGAACAGGGAGGGCAACTCTGCCTGGCTTGCTCACCAAATTCCCTCTCACCTTGTTGAAAATTTCCTCAAGCAGAATCAAATCTAGAGTCTCAGTTTATTGTAAGTCTTTTTTATTTACAGTATAAGTCTCCAAAATGTCAAGGTAGTTATCTCTTAAATAACATGTCAGTCATATAAAACAGCTGGAACCAAAGTAGACAAATATATACAATATAATACATTCTTTTCAATATTGGTAATTGAATTTTCATATTAAATTAAAAGATGCTATTAAGATTTACAATGTCATTTCTCCAGTTAAAATTAAGCCTGTCCAAAGACATAATGTACATGTTTTACAAAACCAACACAGCATTAATAAAACTTCTCATGATAGTATTTCTTATTTTTCTATAATACACTGCACCTGTGTTACAAAAACAAACAATAAAAGCATTGCACAAGATGGTCTGAATACTGTGTAAGTCAGTATGTTAACACTTGAAGAAAAATGTATGACCTGAACTGTTCCCTATCAGGCGCTTTCATAGGAGTTTTCACTGTCACCACCCACTTTCTAGGGATAGATTACTTTCCGTGGAAGTTATGCAATGTCATGACAGTGAATAGGTAAGATGCCAAGAAGAAACAGATGCCACAAAAAACACACAACCCCATTTACAATACTCAATAAAAATTTAAGTAGGATATTTTGTAGGAAAGTTTCAAGATCTATAAATTTAAAATATTAAATAGACTACAAAAGGGCTTACAACAGCTTATTTCCCTATTACCTTAGGTTTGGGTAAGAAAAATTAACTCCTTTTTATTTCTTAATAAAGTTTTCATGGCATCAAAAAAAAACTGCACATTTAGAAGTATGATTTTCATATAATGCAACATGTTCACATTGCTTTATTATACTACTACAAATTATTCTCAGGATTCATGTTTTACTATAAATTACTAATTAAGATTTTTTCATTCCTAACTTCAATATTAATGTTCCCCAGGCATAAAAAGGGAATTCGAGATTCGTAGAATCTCTAGTAGGACGATATTTGAAACACCTAAAAAGATAAGAGTGGCCAAAACAAGAACGAGGTGCTGTGGATAATGTTCTACTACTCACACAAAATAACTAAATTTCATATGTCCCCTTCATTAAGACAGTTTTGAAAGGACAGATTACTTTTGCAAGGCAGCAACTACTCCTGTAGACTGCATTATACTGGAATTTTTTTTTTTTTTTAAAGATTTATTTATTTATGCATACAGAACTGGGGTACAGGCCAGAGGCAGAGGCTCGGGGCGGTGAGAGGCTTCGCCAGAGACAGAGTGGGGAGCAGAACAGGCAGACCAATGAAGTACACTGCTGAGGGGAGCAGCGGGCGGGTCAGGAGAGGTCTGCCACGCCATGTGGTCACCTCCGGGGCAGGCGGGAATCGAACTCATGGGGAAGTGGCTTTAGCTTTTCAGTGCAGTGCTTTAACCCGCTGCGCCACCAGGGAGGGCCATACTGGAATTTTTTAATCACAATATTCCGTAAGAGGCAAAAATAATTACTTCAAGTCATGGGCAAGGAGAACAAGATTATCATGACACCTTCTTGTCAGGGGCTACTCTAATGAAACATTCACAGTATATACCTGATGTTGATTGAGGCTAAAAGAAAGCCTAATTACAATCCCAGGAAGAAATTCTCCGACTGGAAGTTGAATGACTAGGATTGCAGGAAACAGACAGGTAAATAACCCTACCTATGTTGATAGAAATAATGAACAGGCACAATGATGTTTGCCTTCAAGTTGAGTGGTAAAACCCATTATTCGTGGACACACTGAAAAGTTACTAACGTTTCAACTACCTTCCACTTCAGTGCAGCTCCTTTACTTCCATATGAAAACTAAAATCACCGGTGTCTTGTATATTTTCAAAAGGCACACCACATGTTTTCTTAAAAAAGCAGGGGGTAGGTGGTGTGGGAGATACTTATCATCAGATAACTTAAGCCATGGTTCTAATCAACACCAATACTAAACTAATGCTTTCATTCCCTAAAGCAGGCTTTCCAAAATGTTCCCACTTCACATACTTAAAGAGTCTCTAACCCGAGTGTACCCAGATTTCTTTTTCTTATTGTGTGAAAGTAACAATAGAAATGTGCTATTACAGGAAGGCTAAAAAGAGTGGATCACTTCAGACTTTGTAAATCGCCAAACCACCTTGTTATAGAAAGAAGCCAAGAGGAAATATTTGGGGTTATCTTCTTTTATCAAAGAACTGTTTAGTACTTCTGGTTATTTTTTAAATAAATGAAAACTCTATTAAACAAGATGCTCCTATCTCATCTCTTAACACTTCTCAGTATTCAGAACTGGCCTAGAACCTGGTACAGAGAAGTTAGAAAACAGGAAAGGCTACACTGGAAACATCTTAATTTCACAGATGTCACCTAAATTGCTGTGTATATTTAAGAAGTTATTTTATGTCTACAGAAAAGTAAGTATTCCCCATCCATCTAATTGCTGTGATGGGATCTAGTTTATTTTTACATTAAAAAAGTCCTCCATTAATAATTTTCCATTTAGTTACTCTGGACTCATTTACTAAAGTTCCCCCCTAAAAGTGAGGGAAAAACCTAGAATTTAAACATGTGGAGGTAAGTGCAGCTTAACATTAATTGCACAAACAATGTAAACAAATTGAAAAAAGAGCTCAAGAAAAAGGCTTAAGTTAATGGATATAGCTTCCCATCATCTCGAGAAGCAAAGACAGAACTTGAAAAATATCAAACACACTAAAGACAGGGAAAATTACGGGACATGACAGGATTCTCAACTTTAGTCAAATTTCTCAATAAAATGAGAACAGATTATGTCGATCTGTTTAACAGGCTATTAACAATAATTCAGAATTGTTTTAATTCTACATAAGCAATACTAAATTGTTATGTAAGAAACACAAAACAAATTCACCAGTGGTACAAATAGTTGGTAAGTAATGAATGTGCCAGATGTGATGCCAGAAGAACCGTAAACTATGAGACATTGTTTTCTTAACTGGATTGTTAACAAATATGATTGCCCATTTTCACCCTATCTCCTCATTCTAACCATACAATTGTCACTGTCTCTTTGCAATGAATCCATATTTCAATTTAAGTGCAGCTTCCCAGCCTATGGCTAGCTAGTTCGCAGGTATAGCAAAAATGGAAGTGCAAATTCACAGTTTTAGCTGCAGAACTGAAAGGCCTTTGCATAAAGTGGTAAATGCAATAAAGAGATAAAACATGTAGCTTATTTTTGGTCCTTTGTTCCAACCCTTTTCCTTCATGGTCCATTTCAAAATATGTGCTTCATTCACTTCAACAATTCAGACCCAAACCTGTCCAGTGGTCTGGTACCATCAGGAAATACTTGTCCATGGCTTCACAAAATCTAGTCCTGTACAGTTCTGGAGAGACCACAGTTGGCATTTTACCTGATATATGAGAAAGAAAAAGGAAAAGAAAGCTGTTACGTAACTGATAGGACAAGTGACTTCAGCAACTATGTTCTTTCATGAAAACTACCACAAAGACACCCACGCCACAGCTGGCTCACAAAGGAGGCGGGGCACCCCCTGCCCTGTGAGAAAGCACCAGCCCATCCTGGCAGGACTATTTTAGAAGAATAACTCTTGCTTAGAGATGAGAAGTCTGACAGCACAAATAGGGCCAGCAGTATTCAGAATTTGGAAGATTCTGTGCTAAAGACACTTCTCAATCAGAACCTCTGGCCATTTTTTTCTTGAACTTTCCTTGTGAGGACCTTTGGCATTTTAACATACATAAACCCAAAATTTCTTCACGTAGGCAATTCCCTTTACTTGTTCATTTTGTTAGTGATAATGAAATCAAAGATAACTGCTTATTTTTTAGAATTTAAAAACGGTATCTACTTTTTTAAGTGTTAACATATTAAGAAAGACGTGAAGACAGTTTAAAGAGTAATAACCAAAGGAAAATTCTGCTTACCTTGTCCTCCTAAAATCCCTGTTGATTTCACAACCATCTCAAGCTTTTTGTCCCATGTAAATGTTCGAATATAATCTGTTTCAAAAGGCAAAATTAGCAGTAAGCCTTCCATTAATAAATACAAATAAATGACCACAGTAATTACTATTATTACTTCTACTATAGTTTCCTTTAACTGAATGCTGACAATATGCCAGGAGCTGCCCTATGAATGGGTTCTCCCTATTAAACCATTTAATCTGCACAGCACTTCACCAGGCTTCATTTATAAGAGACTTTTTGAATACAGAACTTCTTGGTAAAGACAATGAGAATGGAAATGAAGAAACTAAATAGAAGATACTACAGTTTAAAAAGGATTATTTTTAATATTCCAAGTGGAAGTTTAGAAAAATATCCCATAAGCTACTATGAGATCAGGCTCAGTAGTGTCATCAAGTTTCACTGTGGACGCTCACTCAGCGCTCACGGACTTACCTATAATTCCAACTACCAGTTCATTATTGGTATCATCTCGCCCAACCAGCAAGGAATAATCTATAATGAGGTGACTGGCAAGGAAATGGGAGTCGCTGCGGATTGAGGCTTTCAGCACAGCTTTGGAATGAGAACGGATATACAGAGGGTTATCTCGGACCATCTTTAAGAGATTTTCATCCAGCAGGACTACATCACAACTCTCTTTTCCAGTATCAGTTTTTACATTTCGATTCCTAAGTGAACCCTTCAAATCAAAAACCTAGCAGAAAGAAAATGCCTGTTATTTATGTGCAATTTGCTACAAATGATTCATTAAAGCAATCAAATTAAAAAGGCAGAAAGATTGTGTTGTTGCCACTGACATTACATATACTGTAGTTTTAAATTTAAAAATGCAACCATAATTAATGTCACTAAAAGCATGTAATATAGTTACATAACACATAAAATATGTGGTAATATAACTATCATGTGAAAGTCATACCTAGGTACCCAATTAATAAAACATTTCAGAAATACTGACTCATTTTATCAACTTTAGGAATATTAGCAAGGAACTCCAAAAGTATAAAATCAGATGAAAAGGGATCATTATATGGTGAAGACTTTCAGTAGTCAGCTTAATGTAGGATATGCACAGGCTGATTTTCAGTGATACACACACACCTGAAATTTCTATGTTATGATGTAATGTGACTTAAACTTAAAAATATATATTTATTGTTAAATCATAAATCAGTTGAAAAAACAGGTGTAAGTAGTCTTAAGAAATTTAAATTGTGCAACTACTATGATAATGTAGAAATTTGCCCTCCCTGATGGCACAACGGGTTAGGACACAGCACTGCAAGTGGCTGGCGGCAGCCACTTTAGTGCATGTTGGATCCCCACCCCGGAGGTGACCCACATGGGATGGCAGACCCGTATGTTGCTCCCCTCAGCAGTGTATTTTGTCAGTGGGCCTGTTCTGCTCCTCACTTTGTCTCAGGTGAATCCTCTCACCGCCCCTCCAGCTCTAGCCTGTACCCCAGTTCTGTACGCATAAATATTAAATCTTAAAAAAAAGAAAAAAATTCTAAAAACAAACAAAAAAAGAAATAACATTGTATCTCCAAGAAAAGCAACATACTCAAAGGTCAGAGGAGGTACAGACTAGAGCAGTGTGAACTGCTGAGTATTCTAGAAGCCAGTGCTAGTCAATCATCTGGCTCATGAGGACATAAGAGCTAGTGCCAGAATGTAAAATCAATTATATCATTATGTTCAGGGCTTTATTCAGCTGACATTTTTCTCAAAGCAAGACATTCTCAATGAAGAAAGCAGTTCAATGAACTAACTACAACTATCTTACCATATCCCAGAAATAATATAAGGAACAGGACTTTCAAGAGTACTGTTCTAAAAACTAGACCAACCTGAATTCTAGGAATAACTACATAACTATCACAAAGTACTTAACTTCCTTGGAATTCAAACTTTTTCATGTTTAAAATGAAGCTGATAGAAATAGATAGGTCTTTTGTTCTATAATTCTGTGTTTCTGGGATAATGAACATGTCAAATTTCAGGACCAGCCCACGATGTCCCTCTTTATTCTTTCCCATAGTACCAAACAAGTCAAAAGTTAAATTCGGCCCAGTAACCAAGGTTTAACATTTATTATTAAGTAAGATGCTAATCTCTGATTTATTATATTCAGGAAACAGTAGTACAAAGGCTTCGAGCAGCTAATGCTTCGCACAGTCCAATATCCTTACCTGTGCCATCTTTCTCCCATAGAAAAGATTTTCCATAACAAGGAGATCTAACTTCTTCTCAGTGTTGTTTTGAGAGTTTTTATAACCAATTCGGTAAACTCCAAGGATTTTTGCCAATGCAGTTGGCCTCTAATCAAGAAAAGGTAAGAGTAAATTCTTATCAAAAGGGATTATTTACAGCTCAGTAGAGATATGTGGATTATCCATGTAATCTCCAAATGTGATTTCCTAGTAATGTGATCAGTTAACAGACCTTGAAATAAATTCAAACCCTTGAATTTCAAGAACAAGTAAAGCAGCAATGCCAATAAAAATATTTGATTATTAACATTCTCCCAAAGGACAGCCCCTCACAGTTACTAAAATTCACAACTTTTACTATGTACTATAATTCCCCAGTAGCACACATTACACTATATACGAAAGCAAAGACCATGTCACTCCATGAAAAAGTCACAGCTAAATGACAAGTGGGTAAATGTGCTACTGGCTTCCTGTATTTCTCAGAAAGGGACCAATGCTCTTTTGTCAATACATATTTCAATTTACTATCTCAGCAGAAATACAAATTATCAAATGTGAAAGTATTTTCAACTAATCTTAATGTTTTTAATTACCTTTTACAGAAAACATAAGATCTTGAGTAACTTGCTCAAGATCTCTTGGGCTCTTCATTGGCCAGGGCAGGAAAGAGATTTTGAAATCACTGCATTCTATAGTACTAGTCAAAGTTTGAGGTTTGTACCTTTTGTTGAACAGCATTTGTAATATAATTGAAGTAGTGTGGTGCAAAGTCAAGGAAAGACTGGACTTCCAGACGAGGCATTTGCTTCAAAATGAATCTATCATCTAAAAGGCAAAAATTTCATAGGTTTATTCAATCATCATATATACTGAGGTAATCTGTAATAATCATTACAAGAATCTGAATAATCTGTTTCATGTTTTCAAGGAATAATTTCTGATACCACAGAAAAATATTGATCAGAACAAAGTACACAAATAATTGAAGGATTTCTGGAGATGGATGTAGTCCAGAAATCTCTACTTTTCAAAATACATCATAGCTAGAGTCGACAGTAAAACTTGGTATTAGCAACAGAAAATTCTATTTTAAACTACTAAATTAACTTTTATAAACTTTGTTAACAATCTTGCATGTCACAGATATGAAAAGTCCTTATCAAGCAACAACATTCCTTTGGCATTTTTTCAATTAATTTTTTCACTTTCAGTGCATATGAAGAATGGAATATGAAGTACAAATGGTTAAAATCTTCTGTAAAAATCTGTAGGTTAAGAACTTGGCCTTCTGGAACTCCCTGGTGGCCTACGGGTTAAATATCAGAGCTATCACCACGATAGCCTGAATTCAATCACTGGCCAGGATGATAACCCACATACAGTTCAGCAGACTTTCCACGTCTCATCTGCTGCTCCCCTCAACTGAATTTCAGTCAATCTGTCTGTTGTGTTCCCCATTCTGTCTCTGGTGAATCCTCTCACCCCCTGTACCTCTGGCCTTTACCCCAGTGGCAAACATTAAAAAAAAAAATAAAAAGAAGAACTTGGCCCTTCTATTTTCATGTTAAATATTCTATTTTTATCTTTCTTTTATCACTCTGAAGTATTTTTTTGAATTTTCTAAAAGTTATTTGTTACTATTCATACTTGGAAAACTCAGGACAAGACAGCTTAATAAGGATTTGATTAGTATTTGACTCTCACTGCATACCATGTATATTCTTTTAAATATTTTGATTACATCCTCTCAAACAGCTCTGGCCAAAACCTCTATTGCTAAGTTAAATGGAAGTGGTGATAATGGCATTCTTGTCTTGTTCTTGATCTTTAAAACATAAAAACCAAGGCGCATGTCACATGCCTTTCAGTATCCAAGTCCAGATGCCAGTCAAGGTCATGCGAGACCTATGCCAGCAAAACGTAAAACAGAAAGTGTTGCCAGCTGACAATACCAAACTACCCCAGTTTAAGAGATTGATTATCTGAAGGAATGAGGTGGGTAATATTTAGTCAGTAAATGACTAAAGAGGCCTTCTGGAACTCCCCAGTGGTGCAGCGGGTTAAAGCACAGCACTAAGAAGCTAAAGCCACTTCAGCATGAGTTCGATCCCCACCTGCCCTGGAGGTGACCCACATGGCGCAGCAGACCTCTCCTGACCAACCTGCTACTCCCCTCAACAGTGTACTTCATTGATCTGCCTGTTCTGCTCCCCATTCTGTCTCTGGTGGGTCCTCTCACCCTCCACATCTCTGGCCTATACCCAGTTCTGTATGAATAAATAAATAAATCTTTTAAAAAAAAATTACTAAAGAGACTCACCTTCAGTGGCATAGAAAGCTGCTCCTGATTTACCTCCTCGGGCCTGCCAAGGAGACGAGTGGGAAAGGGAACGAATAAAATCTTCCTCACTGCTGCCCAGAATCACCTCACGCATCTTATGAAACTCTCCCGCATAGTAGAGTCGACAGTAAAACTTGGCGTTAGCATCAGAAAATTCTATAGACAGAAGTGTTCAAAAACAAAAACAGTCAACTTTTATGAATCAGAAGTACCTATTCCTTCTTATCCACTCCTACCTTCACCAAACTTTACAATTTAATTTTCTTCGTGGTATCACTTTTTCATGGTAAGTCTATAATTCTGTTAAATAATATTCAGGAGGATTAGAGGCATCTGATGACTGCCATTACATATTGTCCAAAAAATCAAACACAAAATAAGACTCATTTTTAATTTAACTCTAGTTACTAAATATTCATCAGTGTACTTTCTACTTCTTATATTTGGCTATACGTATTTCTGTGGAAGGTACATTTCTGGCACCTATATACACACAGCCTAGACTCTGTTATTCTAGATTACATAATTATTATTGAAACAAAATTAGTAGGCAACCAGAAATAAGAGCCATTCTGCAAGGGAGGGAGAGGAAAAGGGATCAAAACAGGGGAGAGAGGAGCACAAGGGACTATGATGATGGCTCATGGGTGAACTAGTGGAGGGAATGTTATAGGAAATACACAATGATGTAAAAGATATAAATAAATTATTAAAAGAAATAAAATTAAATCAAGTCATAAGCTCTCAATTTAATAATTGAATAGTTTTAATAAAATTTTTGCAAATAAAATTTCTTTATTAATAATGAATATTTAAAACTAAATTACTGACTGAAAATAAACCTCACATCAGCACAAATTATTTATTTCAATAAATACAGCATTTATCTACTATAAAGTCAGAACTCTCATATAATAGTTTGCTCAATTACAGTCCCTGCCCACAACCCCATAGCATTTTCATACTTACGAAGTTCCACATGAGGATTTGTGAGCTGTTTCTTTTGTGTATCTCCTCCATCTACCTCATCTAAAAGGTTTAATATTATTAATACAGTCAAAATTTTAAATAGGTATCAACTCACTGTATCTATTCTTTCCCCTGATATAACAATAAAAACTAACAGATCAACTCTTACCCTAATCAAGTCACAAACATTAGATACATAATTACCCAGTGTAGACTGTAATAATAAAATATATGTAACTTTGAAAAGATCAAATTTTAGATTTACAAAAAGTAGAGTGCAGAGTAAATAAGTTTTTTCTCACATTTACATGATTTCTATGATAACAATATACTAAATCAGCTCTTTATACATAGTTTACAATTTTTTTGATTTTGTAAATTTTTGGTATAATGCTGGTTTGTAACATAAGTTTCAGCTATGCAGAATTATGGTTCGGTATCTTTTTAGATTACATTATTGTAATGTACATGGCTAGTTTTCAACGACTTCTTTATCAGAATTTACAGCCACTTTTTCCAGCATTAATTCTGCTCCAATAGTTGGTGATGTCTTCTTTATCATTCACTAAGATACACATGTATATACAGAATATACTGGTGTCTACTTCAGTTCTTTTCTGTATTTGACTTATCTGTACAGCGCACCTACTGCTATTTAAGTATTGTGGATTTACAATACATTTAGTATCTAGAGCAAATCACCCTCTAAATTCCCTCTAAATTTTTTTAAATACCAATACCTTCTAAGGACCACAGCATAAGAATCTGAGGCCAATAGCAGTCTACAGGATACTAAACACATATATTAATTACTAATGAAAGTTATTAGGCATTTGCTATTTTTTTAACCTACTAATTCATGATCTAACCTAAGGATCTCCAAACTACTTCTGTAAAGGGTTAGATGGTATTTTCCTTAGTCTCAACTAGTCAACTTACCAATATAACGCAGAAGCAGTCAGATAAAAAGTAAATGAAAGGTTGTGCCTTATATTCCAACACAACTTGATTTACAAGAACAGGTCAATATAATTTGAGTAGACATATTTTTTAAACATTAAAATATAGGTGGACAGCCACCTTCATCTTAGCTGCAGTTGAAGTTATAAAGTTACAGGGAGCTAAGTAAAAGAAATACCAAAGGAGGAAGTGAAATGAAAACACCTAAATGTATACTATGAATTACACACCCTTCACAAGTATGTCACTCAATCCTTAGTAAACCAAAGAGAACACTGCTTTTGTCAATTTACAGGTATCAAACTATGGATTTTTGAGTCTACCACACAGTAAGCTGTGGGATGACACCTAAAACCAGTTAGACTCTCCAGGCACCAAGCTGTTTTTACCCCACCACCGAGTGAGAAGAAAGGGAATGCCTCCCTGGTTTTAGCAGTAAGAATGATCTACTTAAGGCTTAAGGAACAGAAGCAACTAAAATAAATAAATCAAAGCCTATAATATACATTGGTCTCCTTTAACACACCTTGAGGCTCAATGCCTTGATTCTCCGTCCCCTCCTTGCCCGTCTGCCCAACCTGGTAGTAAGCACTATCTGCTCCACGTAAGGTCTCTCTTTTCTGGGAAGAGAGATCGGGGCTTTTCCCTGCTGTCCCCCGGAAGAAGGACAACATTCCAGAAGCCTTTTTGGCTAAAAATAAGAGGTAACATATTAATTTTATGTGCAGGTCACTGCAGGTGTAAAAATAAAAATTTTCAATTCATTCCTTGGTTAGCAGTAACCATTTTATCAGGGCAAAAAAACACGAGTAACACTGATACTTGTATTTGTGTTAAATAGGTGCAAAAGAGGATATGCAAAACTTTTTAAATGCACATTATATTTTAACAACCAGAAATAATAAATCCTTGTCAGACAGCATTTCTTATTTAATGTGTTCCCCTCTTCAAACCACAATCATGAACAAAACAGATAATAGACAGCTACTTCTCCATTTGTAATCTTACTTGGTTGTGGTTGTGGTTCTGCTTCTGCTGCACGGTTTGTCTGTCCTCCACCAATGTCAGGTATTCTAATAGGGCTGTTACTCTTTGGTCTGCTGTCTAAAGCACTAAAATGAGAAACAAAGGAAATGTTGGTTTGATACTATTCAGACAGAAAATAGGAAGTACTCTGATTGCTACACTACTCCTGAGCTAGCCCTCCTACCGTATCAGAAATTTGATGCCTAATGTATATAAAAAGATTAGAAGGTGAAAGAAAATGCCTTGAGATGTCTACTGGACTTAAGAAAAAGAATACAAAATGTTATAAAGGTATACGGAAAAATATATGAAAGCACAGGCTTTTATAATACTTTTAGCAAGTCCATTTGAGTAATATCAGCACCTATGAGTCAACAATTACAGCAAATGCCACTCTCTTATTTCTCATGCTAGCCACCATAATATATCGTTTAGAACAAGCTTTATGTTAGCAAAGTTGGTAAATCTATTTCGGTAAGAATTACAATAAGCATATGACAATTTCTGTCTAAATGTTTAAGATACTGAACATACTAAAAGAGCTATTAGGGTTTTTTTTTTAATTTAACTATTAGGATCTTTAATTATTACAAAGAATTCACAAACACTTTAAACTACAAAGCCAATCAATAGCTTACTAATTTGACAAGTTGCTATTTCTAAAGGAAAATAATAAAGAAAAGTATAAATGTTGAGTTTAAATCTTCAGTATACACTAAGCTTTTGTGACAATTACTATAAGTGTATGTCAGGGGCTATTTAAGGCCTTTGGTAAGCTTAAAATATTATCCTATCAGTTACTGGCTAAAATATGAGTGCCACTATCTGTATCCTGTAAACATTCATACTAATACTATGCTATAATAAAACTGAAGCATAAATATTTAGAAAATGATGACAAAGCTGAATTAAAATAGATTCTACTCAATCAAGGATCACCTATTTGTTGGAAGCCCTTCTTCAGCACTGTTCCGCAGAGTCGCTTTGGACAATTCCTCTAAGGCATTTCGGTATTCTTTACAACTTAGGGTAGAAATAGTTTGAAAAATGTTAAACATTAAGTTCTTCTTCTCAGATCAAGCATATGCTTTAGAATAATTTTTGCATGATAGTGCCCATAATTAAACAAATACATTTGAGTTAACAAAAAGTTATCAAATAGACATTTCATGAAGATGGTCAATGTCTTCACAGACCATACAACAAAAACATGACCCAACACATAAGTCAGTATCAAGATCCTTAACTGTGATTATAAAAGCTTATATGCTAACATTTAGATCAAATGTCTTCAGGGGCTGAACAGGTAATTGAAAAGTGGAAAAACCTTAAGAGTTTAACATAATAGGGAGGAAAGAAGCTTGAAAATGATTTTCTACTTAATGGCACTGAATTTTAAAGAAAAAATTGTTTCTTATGTTGCACTGGCAAAAAAAAAAAAATCAACTTTTGGCCTAGAACTCTGGGAGCCCTCACAAACAACCTTTACATACAACAGATGTCAGAGATCAAAACACCTCAGGTGTTCAGGCACACTTCACTTTATTGCACCTCACATGTAACACATTTTTTTATAGCTTGAGATTTGCGGCAACCCTAGGTTGAGCAAGCTGATGGGCACCGTTTTCCTTGCAGCCTGTGCTCACTTCATGCCTGTGCCACATTTTGCTAATTCACAATGTTTCAGTTTCACTGCTATTCTACCTGTTATTGTTATTTTTGATCAGTAATCTCTGATGTTACTATTGCAGTTGTTTTGGGGTGCCATGAACCGCACCAGATAGGACTGCAAACTTAATTGATAAATGTTTTTCTGACTGCTTCTGACTGGCCGTTGCCCCAGGAAACTTCTTATTCCCTGATTCATAACAATATTGAAGTTGGGCAAATTAATAACCCTACAAAGGCCACTGAGTGTTAATGTGAAAGAATCATGTCTTTCAAGTCATCAAAAAGCAGAAATAATTAAGATTAGTAAGGAAAGCACATTGAAAGCCAAGACAGGCTGAAAGTTAGGCCTCTTGCCAAAGAGCCAAATTGTGAATATGAGGGAAAAGTTTTATTGCTGTTGTTTTAGTAGTAAGTAAAAATGCATTTATTTAAAAATACTGGAGAACTGTAACTCAGGAAGCTCAGGTTCAGGTTAGAAATCCAAAATACGGTACACAAAGTTTGAGAGTTTTACATGTGGGGCAGGTGAAAGTATGAAGTTCTAGATAACAGCAGAAAAGGAGTCATAAGGTAAAAATGGTAAAATGAAAAGGGTCACCACATATAAGTAAATTCTCTTTATACTCAGAAAGGAGATCTTAAAGGAAATTAGCTGTGCTATCCCAGGGAACATGCAAATGACAAAAAAGCAAAAGGCCTTATTGCTGAGATGGAAGAAATTTTAGTGATCTGGGCCAAAGGTCAAGCCAGTCAGCAACATTTCTTAAGCCAGAGCCTAATCCGGAGCAAGAGGCTACTTTTTTCAACTCTATGAAGACAGACAGGTGAGGAAGCTGCAGGACAACAGATTGAAGTTAGCAGAGGTTGAAACTTAAGAGAAAATGTCTCTGAAACATAAAAGTGCAAGCAAAGCAACGAGTGCTGATGTAGAAGTTGCAGCAAGTTATCCAGAAGATCTAGTTTAGATCACCAATGAAAGGTGGTTAAATAAACAGATTTTCAATGTAGACAAGACAGCTTTTTACTGGAAGATTCCATCTTGGACTTTCTTAGCTGGAGAGGAAATCAATGCCTGGCTTCAAAGCTTCAAAAGATGAGCTGACTTTCTTGATAGGGACTAATGCATCTGGTGATTAGAAACTGAAACCAATGTTTTTACCATTCTAAAAACACTAGAGCCCATAAATACTACTCTTAGTCTGCCTCTGCTCTACTGAAGGAACAACAAAGCCAGCATGACAGATCTGTTTATAATGGTTCACTAAATATCTTAAGTCTACTGTCTATACTTATTGCTCAGAACAAAAGATTCCTTTCAAAATATTACTGCTCCTTGACAGTGCACCTGGTTACCCAGAGTCTGATGGAGAGTACAGGAAGCTAAATGCTGTTTTCATGCCTGCTAATACAACACCCATTCTGCAGTCCTTGGACCAATGAGTGACTTTGTCTTTCAAGTTTTTTTTAAGAAATTTCATAAGGTTATAGCTGCCATAAATAGTAATCCTTCTAAAGGATCTGGACAAAGAAGAAAATAAACTTTCTATAAAGGAGTTACTGTTCCAGATGTTCTTAAAGATATTTGTGATTCACAGGAATAGTTTACATTATCAACAATAGTAGGAGTTTGGGAGAAGTTGATCCAAACTTTATAGACGATGGGAGGGTAGAGTTCAAGGTTTCCATATAGGAAGAAACTTTCCCAGATGTGATGGAAACAGAAGAGAACAAGAGTTAAAAGTGGGGCCTCTGAATAGCATGAGCCTACACCTCAAAATCATACACAGTGCTGTAACATTACCTCAATAACGAAAAAAAGTGGAACCTAAGGATATGACTGAATCATTTGAATCTCACAAAATTTGAAAAAAGGAGTAGTTTCTTTGTATGGATAAGCAAAAGAAGTAGTTTCTTGAGATAGATTTGATTCCTGAAGATACTGCAAATGTAGAAATGACAACAAAGGCTCTACAATATTACATACATTTAGTTGATAAAGCAGTAGCATAGTTTGAGAAGACTGGCTCCAACTTGGAAAGAAGTTCTAGCATAGGTAAAGTATTATCAAACACTTTTCTGTGTACTACACAGAAACCTTTCGTTAAAGAGTCAATCGATTCATTAACGTCTTATTTTAAGAAACTGCATAACCACCCTAAACTTCAGCTATCACCCTTCTGATCAATAAGCAGTCATCACATGAACACAAGACCCTTCATTAGCAAAAATATTACAACCCCCCAAAAGTGTAGGTCTGACAGTTAGCATTTTCTAGTAATGAACTATTATTAAAGTGAGCACATTTTGTTTAGATATAGTACTGTTAAACACTTAAAAGACTACACTATAATATAAACATAATTTTATATGCCTTGAGAAACCAGTATTCATCTGTCTTTCGTTACTGTGATATCCCTTTTATTGCAGTTGTCTGGAGTCAACCGGACAGTATTTCCAAGGAATGCTTGTGTTATTTTCCCAAGACATGAGAAAAATGTGACCTCAATTAGAATAACTGCTTTGTAATAGTACAAAAAGTATTTTAAAGTTGGTTGATTTTCCTACCTTTCTTTATCTCTTATAGTAGTAAGAATAAGCAATAAAAAAACAAATACTATCTTCAAAAAGGCCCAAAGTCATAGTAAAAGTTTTATCATGTGAAATTTAAAAGAAAAATATCTCAGTGTCTAAACAGTAACCTCTGAACTCCATAAATACTGACGCATATAAACCTATTCTCATTCTCTTCTTATATATGCCATATTTGATATGTCACACAATACAGGCATTCAAATATTTGCTGGGTAGGTGGACTCCTTGTACCCAGTAAACAAAAATGAAAATTAAATTTTAATACTTTCCAACAGAAAAAAAATGTTTTAGATACCTTAGATTTTACTTAAATAAAAGTTCAGACAATGTCAGTATTAAAAAGTTGTGTTCTTTTAGACATAAGATACATTTCGTGGCACATATTTAAGGCACATAATAGCTCAGTCATATAAACTGAAACATCAAAAATGTCTATGGGTTAAAACATAGGAACAGCATTACTCAAGTAAGGAAATTTTACCTGGTATGGGAAGCAGCAAAGAAATAAATAAAAAGTACAAAAAAGATATTTAGATGACATAAGGCACATATATTCCAAGTAATATGTCAGTACATAGAAAGAAAGGATAAAGTGGATACATTAATGAGAGAACACGGTTACAGGATATAAGGACTAATAAATAACTTCCCTAATCAAGCTTTAGGAGCTTGCATAGGACTCATCCTGCACCCCCTTCTTTGGGTACAGAATACATTTTCAGACATAAAGAGAAAAAGTTATCATTCCCAAAAAAGATATACTTTTGCTTTTACTTAATCATTTTGCTCTACTGTATGGGAAAGAGCTCAGTTAATTAATCAAATAATTAATAAGCAATAATAAATTATAGATGTATAAATTCAGGTGAGGAAGTCCCATGAATAATACCTGAGAGCAAAGGCAATGATGGAGCTGGGTTCCTTCTCACAGACAGCAATGGGGACCCGTTCATGTTCGTACATTAAGTAGTGTTTATCTGGATCACTGTTAAAAATTTTAAATTTAGCATAAATGAGAAAAAGTTGGCAGAAACTACATATAAGTAAACTTTAAGCTAACTAAATACTGCATAATTATGAAAATTTAAGTAAGCCAAAATTTTGCAAAATTTGCATCAAAAAAAGCCAAATAAAAGTTATAAAAATAAGTTTTTGAATGCTATTAAAGAAATTATCAGAATTGGTTTTCAAATCAGAGCCTTCTGGAAAAATCACTCCCAATAAAGTTTTGCATCTATCCCTATGCCTATTAATCACAAAAAGATTTACAATGAATGGCAAAAGTATAAAAGGTCTTGAAAGAAGTTGTCTAGAATCTGTAGAGATACACTACTAGTCCAATAAATACCATAATACAGTCACTCTGCTACAATCACATAGAAACTCAATGTTGTGGCTCAATTTTCATCCAAATCTTGCTCCCCCACATCTACTTCAAGCTTCTTGGGACATATTAATTCTTTTACCTAACAGTTACCTACAGAGCACTTAAGCTGTCAGACATACAATATCAAGAAAAACTATTTCTAAACATCAACATACACAAGATGTCAGCTTACAACAATGAAAAAAACAGACATGGTAGAATTTATAATGGGGTAAAGAAATAAATAACCCTACAAATAAATATAATCATCTTTTGTGATCAGTGCCATGGGGAATCATGGGAGCTAAGGGAGGAAAGTAAGGGCAGGTGCAAAGGGTCTCAGCCCAGTCAAGACACTAAGGTACTCAAGTGTGAGGCAGAGAAACCAGGGACCTCATACTATGGCACAGAATGTGCAGGACACCACATTGTAAGAGATGCTACTTGTCCCCTCCCATACTCACCTCCTGAGATTAGCAATTTTTCCTTATTAATCTTTTTGTACAACCCGAGGGACTAGGCACTTATTAAGAGCTTAAATATTGATTGAATAAAAAATACATAAGTGACTTAAAAACAACGGTTCTGGGCCCTCCCTGGTGGTGCAGCGGGTTAAAGCACAGCAATGAGAAGCTAAAGCCACTTCAGCATGAGGTGGATCCCCGCCTGCCCTGGAAGCGACCCACATGGCGCAGCAGACCTCTCCTGACCCGCCCACTGCTCCCCTCAGCAGTGTACTTCCTCAATCTACCTGTTCTCCTTCTCACTCTGTCTCTGGTGAATCCCCTCACCACCCATGCACCTCTGGCTTGTACCCCAGCTCTGTATGCATAAATAAAAAAATCTTAAAAAAAAAAAAAAACGGTTCTTATTAACAAATGTTCACCTTTTAGATATAGTAATACCACTGCAAGGAGCAACATCTCACAGCTGCAAAGGCCAACAAAATGGAATAAAAACAAATTTGCATAGTCTATATTCCTTCTCACACTGAGTTAAGTCCCGTACCAAGAAGATCACATGAAAACTTGTGTACAGATCACTGTAATTCATCACCACCACTACTATAATAGTGCCAAGTCACAGCCAATGACTGGATTAGTAGTAGCATTCTCATATACTATCAGCTACATGCTCTTCAGATTATGAGCTCTAGAGATGTAGCAGTGTATCCTTTATCAACACAATTATTTTCTGGCCAGCAAAATTAATAATTAAATTACATTAGTATTTTCTCATTCACTCATTTACCACATAAGGATTATGTTTTACAAATTACACTATAATTTGTTGTACAAATTACACTTTTCCACTATGATCAAGTGTAACTCAGGACTGAAAAATACAGATATTCGGTCAAATAATCACATTTAAATATGTACAGTAATCTAGAGATTTTTTTAATAAGTTAAAAAAAAAACCTCGACAACCACTGAGTTTTATAATACTTACAAAGGAAATGGTATAGGGTTATAGCTATTTCCTGGAAGCAAATTTGCAAAGATGGCTTTCATAGTTGATTTTTCCTTCACCTGACTGTCTGTGGATCCCAACAAATGTCCATCAAACACATCTACAATGAAAAATGTTCTGTTTAAATTTTAATGTTCAAGAAGAGGAAAAAGGGTAAAGTATGACCTTTCTTTTCTTTTGGGGAACACACACGTATGCAAACCACAACGGCCAGTTATGTTGTAACACTTCTGATCTAGGAATTCTGGTTCTTATAGGCTGAAACAGGAAGCAAAGGCAACGTAATAGCATATACTCCAAGCGGCACCTTTTTTTAACATCTTAACATCTCTGAAAATGAGATCGTCCTAAAATAAGACTGCTTATCACAGGGACCAGGCAGGAGTCACAAGGGAATTACTGGCTGAATATGCAGGAACCCAAGACACTGCTGTTCACACTGCCACATGAATTCATAAAATGCACTGTGGCCATTACATTTGTGTTTAACTGTTTAATTAAAGAACTTAATTTTTTAAGTTTATATTAAAATTAAGTAGTTATTGCTGAACCCAAAAGCAAAACAGAAAGAAAGAAGGTATATGGATCACACTGCCACACTGCCACATCAATTCATAAAATGCACTGTGGCCATTACATTTGTGTTTAACTGTTTAATTAAAAAACTTAATTTTTTAAGTTTACATTAAAATTAAGTAGTTATTGCTGAACCCAAAAGCAAAACAGAAAGAAAGAAGGTATACATCTGCTAATAGCGAAACAAACATCTGTTGTTGGGGAAATGGCTGTAAATTGCTGCTATTTTCTTTACAAGGCAAAAACCACGACTTTATGGGACTTACAGAAAAGAAAGTAATGTTCAAAAAGTAGATGGAGCTGACTGATACTTTGTTACTGAGATGCTCTCATGTCAAGTAGAGTGACTGAAGAAGTGATATGGTAAAAACGATCTGATGAAACACTTTCAGTAAGCAGAGAACTATGAAGTGTCCAGGGCTAAAAGAGCATCTGTCTGAGCATTAGCAGGCTTCTCTTAATGGGACGCCGTACAATGCAGGCCACTCACTGTACCTTCCGAACTGCTGGCTGTATCGAGCTCGGGAGGCACCCCTGCTGACTGCTCAGGCATGACTTCAGGTGGAGTGGGCAGCTGGAGATGGGTGGAGCTGCTGGAGCTCTGGCTGGATAGGGTGGTTAAGAAGCGGTCCTCTAGGGAAAAACACACACTGCAATGAGTCACTTTAAAACATCAAGTCCATTCCTAGTCCCAAAGAAATAAAAATGCCAGCTCACATTCCACTTCCTAAACCAAAGAATTTTAGCATCTTAAACAGTATTTGCCATCTTAGCACATGTTTCAGAAATAGACAGGGTACCACAATCAACTTGTAGCGACAGTGACAGCTCTGTGATGTCACCCAAATCTGACTTCTAGCTCATTAAACTAAAGAGAGAATAAAAAACACGAGTAGGGAAAAACCACATGCTCATTATCAAGGGCAAAGATTAATTTAACTGTAATAGAATTATGAGTTGCACTCTTGTTCTATAACAAGTCTAGCCAAATATCCTTACAAATTTTCTAGGCTGGTCCCAAAGAATTCCCGTGGAAGACAGTTTAAGTTTGAAAAAGATTTTAGTGACACAAAAACATAAACGTTCTAAGTTTTTGCCGTAAAATCTGGGAACTGACTTAGTAATGATCAATTTCCTTTTTTCTGTCTGTTCTTCCCCTAACAGAAGCTTTCTCTATAGTGTAGTGCTATATCCTAATTTATCTTTTTGCAATATATTTGAGCATAATTTTAAGCTAACAGTACTACAAATTTTCTACAGATAGGAAAAAAGAAAGCTATGAAAAAATGCATCAGAAAAAAGTCTCAAAATAATAGTTTTAAAAAACTAGACATTAGGCCCTCCCTGGTGGTGCAGCGGGTTAAAGCACTGCACTGAGAAGCGAAAGCCACTTCCGTATGAGTTCGATTCCCGCCTGCCCGGGAGGTGACCACATGG